TAATATAATATAGTGCAAAAACAGTGAACAAAAATCCAAAAATATCAAGGTGCAAAGTAACAAATAAACAACAAAACAAGAAACTAAGACAGATAAACACGAACTAGACTATAGCAAGATACGAGAACAAGAACAAGAACAACAACTCGGAATAACAGACTTACTGGAACTGGAGACAAGAAAGACAAGATAGACAAACGACGCGATGACAAACAATGGTGGAATGATGGAATATATAGTCCAGATAATCAACAGAAATGAAGACAGCTGTGAATGGCAGATCAGTGTATGTGTTCCGGTGTATGCGCGTGGTATGTATGGAATTGTAGTCTTTCCAGGACGCTGTAGTGCCTTCTGAGTCCTGATGCACTACAGCGCCCTCAGGTGGTCACTGACAGATGTGACACCACGAGTCCACATATATGGACATAATTTTTTTCTTAAAGTAATTCATATCAAAAGATGATACTTAAATTTTATTCTAATTAGGTTCCAATAAGCCCAAATAGCAAAGAAAAAAAAATGCATGTAAAAAACAGCTTGGGCCCTAAGAGCTTAAGGTCCATATTATTAGTCCCCTTAAGCAATATTTGTTTTGGATTGTCTACAGAATTCTAATCTGAAAATATCATTCATTTATTCTCTTTTCAGCTTAGTCCTTTTATTAATCCGGGGTCGCCACAGCGGAATGAACCGCCAACTTATCCAGCACATTTGTACGCAGCAAATGCCCTTCCAGCCACAACCCATCTCTTTGAAACATCCACACACACTCATTCACACACACTCATACACTACTGACAATTTAGCCTACCCAATTCACCTGTACCGCATGTCTTTCGGACTGGAAACCGGAGCACCCGGAGGAAACCCACGCGAACACAGGGAGAACATGCAAACTCCACACAGAAATGCCAACTGACCAAGCCGAGGCTTGAACCAGCGACCTTCTTGCTGTGAGGCGACAGCACTACCTACTGCGCCACTACGTCGCCCTAAGAATATCATATATAAAAATAAAGAAACTAGTCTCTATTTTAAAATAAAAATAAATATAATTTTATTCTATCTATATGCAAATAGGTTTGACAATTTTTAGGCTTGACCGTATGCATCTATGTATGTATGTTTATATGTCCACGCACATTATGGCCAGGGCCAGACAGAATCTGTGGACATCTTTTTGCTATTTCAGCACAACAATTTGTACAAAATCAGCGGATTTATGTGGAATGAATTTAGTAGTATGGTAGATAAAATCTTAAAACATTAAATAAATTCTTTCTTTAAGGTTTACAATGCAAATCCAAATAGATCCACTTGTTGGTAAACAAAAAAAGTCTCTCATGTAATGTATCTAAACACAGAAAATGTGTGTGTGTGTGTGTGTGTGTGTGTTCAGATTGACAGGGGTGGGTCATTCCACTGTGGCAACCCCTGATAAAGAAGGGACAAAGTAAGAGTGAGATTGATAAGTTATCTTAAGTCTATCCACTACAAACACTTAAGTTACGAGTTATTCATAATATTACTCTCATTATTGTACATATAGATTAAACACTTTTAAGTACTTCAACTTTTTGGCAACATTTTTAATATTGGTTTACAATTGTATTAAGTTCTTTTTTATCTAGCACTAAAGGTTTTAACTTTATTTAATTTAACAATTTACTATTTTTTTATTATTTTAAACGGTTTTACATAATGTATCAACAGGACAACACACAAAGAAGAAGAAAAAAGAAAAAAAAAGAAAAAAAAAATAATAATAAAATAAATTGGACCCCCACCCTCCCAAAAAAATAAATAAATAAAATAAAAAGTTACATAAAACAATTTACTATTTTTAATATGTTTAGTTTCAGTTTTAGGCAACATTAACAGCATTGTCTGACACATGCATGTAATAATACATTTAATCCTTTATTTTATCTTAAAAAAAAACCATGTACTTTTGATTCTGCAAAGTTGCTGTACATAATAATAGTGAACCAGTCTGTGAAGAACATTTGATTGAGTTGTATTTAATCAACATCACCACCATTCAATTATAAAGTTTAAACTTCTATCTGACATTTTTCTCCAAATTGGTTTGTATGAAATTAAAAAATGTCCTTATTTTTCACAAATTATTTACAAATTCTCTTCTTAAAATTGTGCAAATTCATTTATCTATATTTAGCATTATTGAATATTATTGTGCTATGTATTAAAGTAGAGAGATGCTGGGCTTGTCAGTTCCTCACACGGTACAAGCCACGACCATATAAGCACCAATGATTTCTAAGATATCTTTTGTGTGTAAGTGTGTGTGTGTGTGTGGTTATGTGGTGCAATAATGCATCTGTTTACCTGTATGTTCTGGAAGTAATGATGTCTCCTATAAGAGGCCCGATCTTATCCTGACCACCCACATCACACACAGTGAAGGAAATGTTCTTGTATTTGACTGTCTCGACAGAAATTCCTAAAAGAAGCACACATTAACAATGCAGAGTTGTGTTAAAACGAGAGGTTAAATGAGATAAATCAATGGCAAATCTCACACAACCTGTATATGGATCCCCTGTAAATGCACTCATTATGGAAAGAAACCAACACCTTGAAAAGATCTTTACGTCTGCTTAATTTAAAAGATGCATTTTAACTTCTTATGCATCAAAAATGCACTTCAAACTTGTTCTTCATTGAGGCATGTTGAATTATTCTTCCTTCATTTGCAAATTGCATTGTCAGTCGTTTTTCCTACCAACTTATTTATCTGTTTAATCTATCATTTTCTGTAAAGCTGCTTCTGGTCATTACATGCACACACTAAAGGGTTATAAGAGACGTGTTTAAAGGATTACGTGCAACACCCTCCATTTATTCTTTTTGGAAATGAGAAAGCTCCACTTAAGAATCATACTTAAAGGAAAAATGTGCTTCACACAATGTTAAAGTTGATCGGAGTATGCCAAATAAATATATCTGTTGCACTGAATGACACTGGAACATTTCAACAATTCAAGCAGACACTTGGCTTGCATTACATAAGCTTTTATAATA